GGATTGAAGATGTCTGGGCTTTTATTCTGTAATGTTTCTAAGACTGTGTCCATTAAATGCAAACAAAAAAGGAAGAAGTCTTGGCAGAACGGGAGAAGTGATGCACACTTGATGATCGGATCGATTTAAATATTATTCATGGCATATAGCCTAGTCCATGCTCTAGCTGTAGACAAAAACAAACATGCAATTATTATTTTACTTAGTTCAATATGTTATTTTCCAAACCATAAACAGCAAACGAACACTATTAAGTTAATTATGGAAATGTAATCTCTTAAATTCATGCCATTTTCTATAAATTGGATTAGGGCCGAAAGATTTTCTCTTTATCTAATTACCAAAACACCACAATGAAATTCAGAAGTTCTACAAAATTCAACAAGATGAAGAACTGCCCCCTTCATTTCTAGATATTTCATGCTCCCTACTAATTTTATTAAAATCTGTAGCAGGAAGAAGCTTGCTAATTCCAAATTCTCTAGCTACAAACTGCTGCATACAGATTACAAAAACAGGTCAAATGAGTTCAAAAGTTTTCCAGTATCTTTACATGCTGCTAGATGAATGGTAGACACTTGTTATTTGTTAAATCAGGTGTAGTTATAAAAAGAGTCCAAGAAGATTTCCCAATTATAGGTTGTTTTTAAATCTAGGGGACCAAGAGCAGGCCATAATGGAGCTTGAACATCTTTTGTTAAAAGGCATTTACATACGATAAGCAGGATCTAATTTATTATAATACATGTTTTCCTTTTCCTTGCCAAGAGTTTTTTAAAAGTTTTAAAAATGGTGGCATAAATTTGTTTTTAAAAGTGGAAGTGGTGTGAAGGAGAATGAATATTAAATACCTGTTTCTATGGCTTGGGCTTCATTGGTCTTCCACTGCTCCGCTACATCATTTGCTAATGGATCATCTGGATTGGGAGCACTTAACAAAGCCTGGATTGATAGCAGAACTGTGCGGATCTGCAGTGCTGGGGACCATTTATCTATGAAGGCAAAAGGCCTAGTATGATAAAGCATGAAAAAACAGGCCCAGAACTGCTGCATTTCCCTCCCACAGACCTCTGTGGTCTTTGTGAAAGACAAGATTACAATGTTTACATTTTAAATATGGAATGCTTTAAAAAAAAAAAGGAGAAATCTTAATAATAGCATATAATGATAAAGGTAACACTTACCTTTCAAAATATCTAAACATATTCTTCCCAACTTGTCTACATTAGGATGATAAATTTTGGTCATGAAACGTACTTTAGGAGCTGCCATTGGGTATTCTTCTGGAAGGAATAGTTCAAGTTTAAAAGTCCCTCCCTCAAAGGGGGAATCCTGGGGGCCAGCAATGACCACATGAAAATAACGGGCGTTGCTCTCATCTGGTTCTGCCTTAAT